TGACTCCAGCATTGGAAGACAATAATCCTAGATGTTAATTCACCAGCCTTGGATAATTAGAGGGCAAGAAGGGTGAACCAACCACTCAGGTTAAGGTAGTTACCATCTGTTTCCTCAAATCTTTGAAAGTATACTTTCTGCACTGTTCTAATTTTGTTCCTAAGGACATTGGAGTGAAAACTTTAACTCTTGTCATTGCAATACAATGGTTGGGGAAGCATGACTTGAAGTTCAGAAGCCTTTTCCTACTTTATCCTTTTATACTGGGTTTTGTCTTCCCTCAGGCCTAAGCCATTATTCACAAACAAGTTCAAAGACCTACCATCCAAGAATTTCTTAATTTTCTATCTTGGTTTTCATGTTTTTTAAATGTTTATTTATTTTTGAGAGAGAGAGACAGACAGAGCATGAGTAGGGGAGGGGCAGAGGGAGAGAGGCAAAGAATTCGAAGCAGGCTCCAGGCTCTGAGCTATCAGCACAGAGCCAGACCTGGGGCTTGAATCCACAAACCGTGAGATCATGACCTGAGCCGAAGTTGGATGCTTAATCCAATGCTCACTTATTTTAAGATGGAACTTTGGCCAGGGAGTAAGGCATAAATTTCATTAGACTGAAGTTTCCACTGTGAATTTGGATATTGAAACATTAAATAAATTCCTCCTTTTGGGGTCTGCATTTTATACTTTTTTAAGTTTTTATTTTAATTCCAGTTAGTTAACATACCTTGCAATATTAGTTTCAAGTGCACAATGTAGTGATTCAACAATTCCATACATCACTCAGTGCTCATCTAGACAACTGCACTTCTTAAATCCCATCATCTCTTCACCCATCCTCCAATCCTCTTCCCCTCTTGTAACCATCAGTTTCTTCTCTATAATTAAGAATCTGTTTCTTAATTTCTCTCTTTTCTTCTCCTTAGCTCATTTATTTTTGTTTCTAAAATTCTACATATGAGTGAAATCATATGGTATTTGTCTTTCCCTGACTGACTTATTTCACTTAGCATTATACTCTCTAGCTCCATCCATAAATTAGTTCATATATATTTGATCTTACATACTGGAGATATTCAAACACCATTGGTATCTGAATTACACAATTTAAATAAATAGTCTAATGTTTAAAATGTTAAATTGTGTGGGGCATCTGAGTGGCTCAGTTGGTTGGTTAAGGGTCCAACTTCAGCTCAGGTCATGATCTCATGGTTCATGATTTCAAGCCCCACCTCGGGCCATCGGGCTCTCTGCTGACAGCTTGGAGCCTGGAGCCTGCTTCAGATTCTGTATCTCTCTCTCGCTCTGCCCCTCTCCTGATCTCTCTCTCTGTCTCTCTCTCTCTCACACACACACACACACACACACAAATGAACATTAAAAAAATTTAAGTCATCAAAATGTTAAATTTTGTCAGCTAAAATTGTCAGGGTAATATGGAAATAAAAATATTTTATGCATTATGATATTACATTGGTTTTAAATCCATTCTATTTTTTCCCATGGAAACATTTTAAGAGATTTCCTGCTCAAATTTGGAAAAGAAGTGAGTTGTGTTTTCAAAAGCATTTTACATGAACATTTTTGTGATATTTAAAAAGGCAATATACAAAGAGAAAGTTCAGAGACCATGTTAGCCAATTAGTCAACCACCACATAAGCTAGAGAATAAAGCAGGGATTTGGCAGCTATACTGGTATAAAATGATTTTAAAATAATCACAAAGGCTTTAACACTAATTGACAATCCTTGCTTGAGTTAATATATATCTAAAACAGGACTTGATAGGTCATAGAGTATGAGAATGCACAGATTTAATCTCTTGCCTTAATTTTTTTCATGAGTTTGGTTATGCATTTAACATTGTCTGGAGCATTTCTAGGTAGTGGTATAGGAGTGTTTTCAACTTCTTTGTACCTATCCTGCCAAATCACTGGAATTAGAATTCTTTAATTTTTTAAGTTTGGAAATCATGCTTTTTAATTTAGAAAGTGTTTTGTCTGATTCCTTTGAAATTTTCATTATTTAAATTATCATTTGATGCTTTTATTGTATTTTACCACCAGGAGCCAATAATTCTAATTATTCATTTTGATATTCCTCCTTCAGTTTATCAAGACTTCTGAAGTATACTATAATTCCTCACTAGTCATCCACAATTTGATATTTCTATAGTATTATTGAAAGTCAGGTTTTCTTGGGGTGCCTGAAGTAGTAGTAGCAAATGAGCTAGCAAACTGTTTTTCTATTGCTGAGTTGTGAGGAGGAGGGATCTGCTCTGTAGTTAGCTACAGGTAGTTCTTTCTGACTACATGCATCAAAAGCAATTCTTTCCAAGGCAGTATCCCCAAAGATCTACCAGAAGTTCTAGGGCTGTTGTAGTGGGAAGAAACTCCACCTCAATGAGGAGGCATACACATCCTTTTCCCTTACACTTGTCTTGGCTTGTGTCTAAAAACACGGGAATGGTTATTTTACCCCTAAAAATCCTAAAGCTGTCAGATGAATATATGGGTCTCAAATGCAGTGTTGAACACACACTCTTTGGTAGAGAGAAAGTAGGAAGAGAAGGTCAGTAATTCACAATTACTTTGCTATATTCACAGAACACCTCTTCTAAGCCATGCATTCAATTTCCAAAATTTAATTCTGGATGATTATATTTTTCATTGTCATATCTATAAGAGGCATCTTCAAATATCAGAAAGCTGGCTGACAGGATTTTTTAAAAAAGGTTAACTTAGTCTGAATCTTCTTTGAGGAATAAAAATAAAAATTGAACCTAAAAATATTTTGGGTAAAGACCCAAAGGAAATGGATTATATGTAATGATACCCCACACTGTGATTGTTTTTCCTTTTCCATTATTGAAAGTTTAAATACAGGCATAAGTGCAGCTCTAAAATACAGGTGATAACTTTTTCCCATAATATAGTTCTGATACTGAGTAAAGTTTAGATCAAAGAATTATTCTAGTCAACCTGTTTTATCTTGCTTATATATCAATGAGCTGTACTCCATTACTAGACTCCCAGGTCAGGAATAAAAAGACCTCAGACAGCATTAACGAATTCATAAAAGTCTCAACATATTAATATATGGTATCATGTATTAATTTTTATAAATTACTGATAAAGAAAGCAAAATGGTATACAACAAAGACAAGAGCTTGAAATTCAGAAGGATAGATTTCTCTCTGTAAGACTGAAACCCAAATTATAAGTGAACGTATACCAGTTGCCATCTTTCTTGGCTCCAGACCTACCGTGAGTAAAAGGATAGCATAGAACTAGATTAATCATCAAGTTAGTTTCAGCTTCAAAGTTTCACAATCAAGCCCAAGATATATGCTATTCTTTATCTATCTAAGATTATTTGCATAGAATCTCTAGCTGTAGATTGCCATACAATGGGAGCTTTGGGGGATTAGAAACTTTCTTGTAACCTTGAGATCACATCATACATTTACTTACTTTCTTCCCCTGAAAACATACATAAACAAGATTATTTAGAATTAAACAATACTCATTATAATATAAAACATGATAAAAAGGAAAGAAATATGCTTTGGACTGAATACGTATATGTCATATGCCTGTGAATTTTTTTAATAGTTGTTTTAACTCAGACAAACCAATCTAAGTCTCAATTTCCTCACTTATAAAATGGAGATTGTACCATAGATTATATCACAACAATAACCTGGGAATTAAAAGGATGGATGGACTTTACATTTCATAAATGCAATGAGCATATGCCACTTCTATGCATTTTTGCATACTCATTTATCAAAATACAAGTACTTTACTACTATCAAATTTTCATTTTTTTCCCCAGCTTGGTTTTCAGGAGTGTTTTATTTCTTCAGGATGGTCATTTTTCAATTGAAAGTGCAGCATATAATTTAATATATCATCTCATCCCAAATAGCCTGTTTGCAGTTGCTGTGTACTTTTGGCACAACTGCACAGAGCTCTCCATTATAAATGTCACCTATGATAGATACTATTGGCTATCAGGCCACTGGCATCTCTGGCCCATGGAGTAGGTCAGCAGGCAATTTTACAGAGTGTCTGAGCAACCTACAGGAAGAACTTACTCAGCAGCAATACCAATTGCTTTTACTTAAAATTTAATTTGTATGATGAGTGCTTAGAGCAAGTTTTTACTTGTACCACCACATCAATAGCTTCCAAGAAGAAATTTCAGAGGCATAAACAAAAGGGAGATGAAGAGGCAGAAACTTAATAGGAAACAGACAGTTTGGATGTGAAAGGCCAATTTCTTCTTTGACTTCTGTGACTATCTGAGACAGCCCATGCAAAGTTTGACTATGGCAGTGAATATGTGATAGGTTCTTCTTTCTTTATCTTTTTTTTCTTTTAAAAGTACATTCCTCCTTAAAAGTGACAAAAGATATTCTCTCTGATACTAAAGACATAAGGAATACAGAATAAACACAGCCAAATTTAGAGACTAATTCAACCACTAAATCCATAAATCATGAGGCTTTAGAGTCTCTTCACGAGGAATGGTGTGTGCTACAAATCAAAACCACAATGAGATAACACCTCACACCTGTTAGAATGGTTCTCATCAAGAAGAGACAACAGGTGCTGACAAAGATGTGGTGAAAAGGAAACCCCTATATGTTGTTGGTGAGAATTCCCACCCTTATGGGAGGTTCCTGAAAAAAGTTAAAAATAAATCTACCATATGATCTAGCAATTCCACTTCCAGATGTATACACCAAGAAAATGAAAACAGGATTCTGATGAGAAATCTGCACTCCTGCGTTGATTGCAGTACTATTCACAATAGCCAAGATATAGAAACAACCCAAATGCCCATCACTGGATGAATGGATAAAAAATATGTGGTACAGGCAGCAGTTTGGGTGGTGGGAGCAATGGAAGGAGCAGCAGTGGTCATGCATCCCAGCTTCCAGAAGTCTCTCGGGACACCACCATGCAGGCACCAGCATCATGCTGACCCACTTTCATGATGCGGAAGAGGAAGAACAGCTCCATGGAAAAGGCAGTGAAGGACGAGAGCAAGAGGAGACCAGCAAGATTGTCGGCCAAACCTGCTCCTGCAAAAGTAGAATTGGAGCCAAAAAAGGTGGCAGGGAAGGATATACTTTCAGACAAAAAAGTGCGAACAAAGAGGAAAAGGGGAGCAAAGGGAAAATAGGCTGAAGCGGCTAACCAAGAAATGAAGAAGACTTACCTGCAGAAAATGGAGAAACTAAAAATGGGGAGAATCCAGCCTCTGATGAGGCAAGAGAGAAAGAGATCAACTTTGATTAATATTATATACCATATCTTATCAGTGACCCCTGTCTCCCTTCATGTACAATGCAGAGGAATACTTTTTATCAACTGTTTTGTAAATGCAAGTAGCTCTAGAAACATTTTTAAGGACAGAATCCCACCTCATCCCATTTTTTAAAAAAGTATAAATACTTTTTTTTTTTTTAAAGAGGTGAAATCATTTGCTGGTTGGTTGTTTTTTGGCACAACAGAAATGGAAGATGGGAAGTTTTGATTGTCTTGGGTGTCAGCTTAACATTCCATAGATGGGGTAGTTTTTATATCCTATGATACAAAGCATACTAAATGGCAATTTGGAGTCGATCGTGCATTTAACAAGTCTTGAACATTTTAAATGACTTCTATTCCCATGTTGTTTTTGGTAGAATTGTTTCCTAAGGAAAACCACTCCTTGATCTTGGCTCTCCCTGTGAGAACTTTGGGAGCTCTGGAACATCTTGGTCATGGTAGTCCACTTTTCTTAGCAACTTTGTTGATGTGCTGTGTGCAAGATTAAAAATTTGCATATGATCCCAGAATTTAACCTGTAAAAGCTGTAATCATCAAGACAATATGGTACTGACATAAAAACAGACACATAGATCAATGAAATAGAACAGAGACCCCAGAAATGGACCCACAGATATATGGCCAACTAATCTTTGACAAAGCAGGAAACAGTACCCAGTGGAATAAAGACAATCTCTTCAGGAAGTAGTGCTGGGAGAACTGGACAGCAACAGGCAGAAAAATGAAACTGGACCACTTTCTTACACCATACACAAAAATAAACTCAAAATGGATGAAAGACCTAAATATGAGACAGGAAACATCAAAATCCTGCAGGAGAGAACAGGCAGCAACCTCTTTGACCTCGGCCACAGCAACTTCTTACTTGACATGTCTTCAGCAGCAAGGGAAACAAAAGCAAAAGTGAATTATTGGGACCTCATCAAGATAAAAACTTTCTGTTTGGCAAAGGAAACAATCAACAAAATTAAAAGGGAACTAAAGGAATGGGAGAAGATATTTGCAAATGACATACCTGATAAAGGGTTCGTATCCAAAATCCATAAAGAACTTACCAAACTCAACACACAAAAAACAAATAATCCAGTGAAGAAATGGGCAGAAGACATGAATAGACACTTTTCCAAAGAAGACATGCAGGTGGCAAACAGACACATGAAAAGATGCTCCACTTTACTCCTCAAATACAAATCAAAACCACAATGAGATACTACCTCACTCCTGTCAGAATGGCTAAAACTAACAACTCAGGCAATGACAGATTTTGGCAAGAATGTGGAGAAGGGGGAACACTTTTGTCTTGGTGGGAATGCAAAGTTGTACAGCCACTCTGGAAAACAGTTCCTCAAAAAATTAAAAATAGAACTACCCTATGACCTAGTAATTGCACTACTGGGAGTTTATGCAAAGAATATAAAATGGCTGATCCAAAGGGGCACATGCACCCCAGTGTTTATAGCAGTGCTATCATTAATAACCAAATTATGGAAAAAGCCCAAATGTCCATCATCTGATAAAGGGATAAAGAAGATGTGGTGTACACACACACACACACACACACACACACACATACACACACACACCATGGAATACTACTTGGCAATGAAAAAGAATGAAATCTTGCCATTGGCGACAACATGGATGGAACTGGAAGATATTATGCTAAGTGAAATAAGTCAGTAAGAGAAAGACAGATATCATATGATTTCACTCATATGTGGAATTTGAGAAATGTAACAGATGAACGTAGGGGAAGGGTAGGAAAAATAAGATAAAAACAGAGAGGGAGGCAAGCCATAAGAGACTCTTAAATATATAGAACAAACTGAGGGTTGCTGGGGTGGAGGTGAATGGAGGGATGGGCTAAATGGGCAATGGGCATTAAGGAGGGCTATTGTTGGGATGAGCACTGGGTGTCATATGTAAGAGATGAATCATGGGATCTACTGCTAAAGCCAAGACTATATTGTATGTTAACTAACTTTAATATGAATTTTTAAAAAAGGAGGGGCGCCTGCGTGGCTCAGTCAGTTAAGTGTCTGACTTCAGCTCAGGTCATGACCTCATGGTCCATGGGTTCGAGCCCTGTGTCAGGCTCTGTGCTGACAGCTCAGACACTAGATTTGGTCTGCTTTGGATTCTGTGTCTCCCTCTCTCTGCTCCTCCCCCATTTATGCTCTGTCCCTGTCTCTCAAAAATAAATAAAAGTTTTAAGAATTCAAAAAATAATAAGGAAATTTAAGTATGTAGTGAATATGATATTAATTGTGAATTGGTGGAACTTAACAATGTAACAATGTATCAACATTTAACAATATTGGTACTTGATATGCTGTTAAGGAAAATTTGCCTCCAAATTTTAAGCTAGAAGATCACTGGAATAAGTTTTAGAAAAGAATTACAACTGCATGATTTTCTAGATTTCTGTTGTGTATATTAGGAATTGCATACAAATTGAAATGTGTGTACTGATCCTCAGAACAACCAATAAAAACTCAATTATGAAAGAATTTCTCAAAGCACAGTAAGAAGATGTGAAACATGCACAATAGAATATTATTCAGTCATGAGAAAGAAGTCTCCCACATGCAGAAACATGGATGGATCTTGAGCACATTATGCTAAGTGAGATAAATCAGACAGAGAAAGACAAGTACTGTATGATATCACTTACATGTGAAATCTAAAAAAGTTAAACCTGTAAAAAGCAAAAGTAAAATGGTAGTTACCAGGGGAGGGGATTGGGAGAGTAAGGGTGATGGTACTTAAGGGTACAAACTTATACCTAATGATAAATAAGCCATAGGGATCTAATGTGCGGTATAATTAATATAGATAAAATATTGCATCTCATCAATCACAGAGACATGCAGGTGGTTGAGTGGTAGCAGGTTGGAGACAGGTGATGACTGTGGTGAAATTCAGACTTACATTTTCAACAAAGTGTTGAGACGTGAGTTGTTTGGTTGTTCAAGCATACCTCAGTGAAACAGAGAGACCAAACGATGCCAGAAGTTGTTCAGTAGAAGCCTGGAACAAAACTGAGGCTTCTCAGAGGAGTAGAAAAGATGGTTAGCTCTGCTCTGTTTGCTCCAGAGAAACCTTCCAGCCTGATTCCTTGGATGCCTCCATTTGATACTTTCAGGAAAAAAAAAAAAAAAAAAAAAAAAGAGTGGCGCCTGGGTGGCTCAGTCGGTTAGGTGTCCGACTTCGGCTCAGGACATGATCTCATGTCAGGCTCTGTACTGACTGCCAGCTCAGAGCCTGGAGCCTGTTTCAGAGTCTGTGTCTCCCTCTCTCTCTGACCCTCCCCTGCTCACGCTGTCTCTCTCTCTCTCTCCTAGAAATAAATAAAAATATTAAAAAAAATAATAATAAAATTAATTCTTATTATAATAAGCTAACCATAGGAAAATATTTCATGTTTTCTACTAGGGAAACAGGGAATCCCTGCTCTGGACATGATTCTTTAGAGACCCAGAAATAAGTACTAACAGCTCTAACATCTAATCTAGCAGCAGGGAAGCCCCTTGGAACAAGTTAGTCTTTCTTTAAATCAATAGCATATATTAAATATCTTCTATTAGCTGAGCATTATGCTAGAAACTAAGAAAGAGAGGAGGACAAAACCAACAAAAGTAGTCCCTAACATCATGAAGCTAAGTCTGGAGATGACAGAACTTTAAAAAATGACTATGGTTCATTAATGAAGTAATTGCAAATATAAAGATACTTCAAAAGTGAAAGGGGCTTGCAAAGTACAAGGTGTAGGTAACTAAGCCTCCCAGTTGCAAGTCACTGTATATCAAAAACATACCAAATGATGGTATGTCAAAATCAGCCATCTTCTATACAAATTATTAATTAAGCATCCCCTGTCCTGAGATATGATTTCTGATAATGAGGAGGCATCTTTATTCTTTTTTATTCTTTTTTTTTTTAAATGTTTTTATTTATTTCTGAGAGAGAGACAGTGTGAGCAGGGGAGGGGCGGAGAGAGAGGGAGACACAGAATCTGAAGCAGGCTCCAGGCTCTGAGCTGTCAGCACAGAGCCAGACGCGGGGCTCGAACCCACGAACCCCGAGATCATGACCTAAGCGAAAGTCGGACGCTTAACCGACTAAGCCACCCAGGTGCCCCAAGAATTAATTTTAGATTAAAAATAAAATTCAGGGGCATCTGGGGGACTCAGTCAGTTGAGCATTCAACTCTTGGTCCTGACTCAGTTTCATGACTCAGGTCATGATCCCAGGGTTGTGGGATCAAGCCCTGCAGTCAGGCTGTGGACTGAGGGTGGAGCCTGCTTGAGATTCTCTCTCTCTCTTTCTGTCTTTGTCTCTTTCTCCCTCTGCTCCTCCCCTGTTCACATGCTCTCACTCTTTCTCTCTCTAAAAAAAACAACAACACAAAAATTCACTTTATTTGTTGAATATTGATTAATTGATTTTTATTGAATTGCTGTAGTCATATCTATAAACTTGAATAACTTACTCTAAAATTAAATGACAAAATTCATGTTTCATATTTGTTAAGGAATATTAATATTCAGACACTCTCATAATATTTTACATATATTATCACATTTAAATGGGCCACATTAATGAAGTTACAATTTAACTTATAAGAAAAGTAAATGAGGAATAATGGAAACATATTATACATATATTACTCTTCAGTGGGTTCACAGTGCTCAGAAAGCCATGCACATATGCAGTCAGTATGAGAAATAAACCACTATTAACTACTGTTTATGAATACATACAGCATCCAAATATTTCCTGCTCTTCCCATCAAATTTTATGTGCATAGAATCCTTCTTGAAAACATTATCTAGGAATCTTTTATTGTTTCAATCCCTATTTCACTACTGCCTTGTTCACCTAAGTCTTTTTCTTCATTCTCTGTTTTCCCCACCTTTGCCCAATCCTAGATATAGTCTTTTCTACATTCTGGAGTGTAGAATCTT